CATCACCTGGAGGACAAGGCCACTGGTGATTGGAGACTTTTTCCCAAAAGAGCAACAGAAAAGCCCTTGAAGGACTGAGTCAGAGTTGATCTGTCTAATGTGCATTCTGAAAATACTGTTCTCGCTGAAAAGGAGAAAAACCAGAAGATCAATTATAAAATGTTTTTTTATTAGTCCAGATGAGATCCCATGGATTAAGGCAGTGGGCATGAAGAGAGGCAGATAGGTTCAAGGAGTATGGAGGTTAAATAAGTTTGACGATGGATTAGATATGGGGGCTAAGGAAGAGAGGTGTCTGGGATGGCTCCTGGGATTTTATTAGTACCATTTACTGAGATACAAAACACTGAAAGAGGCTGGGAAGGGTTCAATCTTAGACAGGACATCCAAGTAAAGCTGATAAGTAGGCAATTAAACAAAAGTCTAAGGCCAGAGGCAAAGTCTGGGCTGGAAACATTAATGTGGAAGTCATTGGCATACAGTAATTGAAGTCAAGGGTATAGATGAAGTTGCTCATAAAATACAGTTCCAGAGCCAGTCAGCTCTTAATCTTTAAGGAACTCTAACATTTAGTGGCCGAGTAGAGAAAGACGAGACTGAAAAGAAAACAGAAATGGACAGCTCAAAAGCAGGAGAAAGCAAGCTGAGTGTGGTGTCCCAGAAGTCAATGGGAGAGGCTGTCAAACAGGATGGAATAGGCCAGGTGTGGTGGCTCACACCTATAATCCCAGCACTTTGAGAGGCCAAAGGCAGGAGTATTGTTTGAGTTCAGGAATTCAAAACCAGCCTGGGCAATATAGTGAGACCTCGTCTCTACAAAAACTTTAAAAATTAGCTGAGTATAGCAGCATTCACCTGTAGTCCCAGCTACTTGGGAGGCTGAGGCAAAAGAATCGCCTGAGCCCAGGAGGTTGAGGCCGAGATGAGCTGTGATAAACAGAATGAAACCCGATTCAAACAAAAAAAAACAATAGAATGGAATAGTTTTGCATGCCACTGAGACTGAGCAACATGGAGGTCTTGACAACACCAACTTAGATTTCCTCAGTGGAATGATGGAGACAGGAGCCAGACTGGAGATCGTTGAGGAATTAGAGGGACATGAAGAAATGGAGACACCAGATGGACCACTCTCAAGTGTGTTTCTTGGTAAAGAGTAGTCCCAAACCTATCCTTCTTCAATTTCCACCCATACCCTTCTTTGTCACTCAGTAAGCTAGATTGATTTTATAACTCAGTAGTCTGAGTTCCACAGCTGTGCTGTCCAGTAACCATGGCAACCAGCCAGCCGGGAATGGAGTCTGCAGGGGGAGGCCACCTCGTGTTTGGAGACTCTTTTGTCTGTTTGTGGAACGTCTGACTCTGCAGGCCTGGCCTCTGTGAAGGCCCATTGTGGAAACGCTGCCGAAAATGGGTTGAAGAAAAAGAGTTTCTATATTTTAATGATCCCTTCTGAAAAGTGTAAGGATAAATTGGGTTTGGGATTTGCAAAGTGAAACCGCGTCAAGTTGAGTTGATCACTGTTGAAGCTGACTTATGGGTACTTGGGGTATATTATGAGGGGGACGCAAAATAACCTGGAGTCATCCTTTTAGAGAGCGGGCCCCTTGTAGTGGTCTAAGTGTTCTAGGAACCCATCGGCATCTGTGGACCAGCAAGCATTGTTGTGAGAGGCTGCGTTCAGCTTCAGTGAATTTTTTGTGGAGATTCTTTCAACATGTTTTCCCATTTCATGAAGGGTGATTTATGAGCACACCTGCCTGCACTGCACTAAGGGTTCAGCAGTTTTTAACCAAAAACAATATGACCCCTGTGCCCTACCCTCCGTTTTCATCCAATCTCACCCCAAGGGACTTTTTTGTTGTTGTTGTTGTTTCCCTGGATGAAAAAAGTTCTCAAAGAAAAACGGTTTGCCATTGTGGAAGAGGTGAAACAAAACTTGGCAGAAGCACTAAAAAGTATCAAAATGGACAGGTTCAAAAATGGTTTTGAGCATTGAAAAAAGCATCTCTTATAGGTGTATGGCATCAGAGAGTCCTTTGAAGGTGACTGAAGTTTAAACATGTAAGAGTAAATACACAATTTTTTATAAATAAATTCCAGGTTTTGGGGGAGTCATCCTTGTATATTATTCTCATTACTTTTGTTTATATGTCAATGTTTTCACAATAAATTAGAAAAAGTTAGATTTAGAAACTCTGTAAAGAGAAAATACAAAGAGCCAGTGACCATCACAGGCCCACTGTGTAAGAAGCACTTGAAACAGGAACTTCTTTAAATCCAACCTGCCATTAGCTTGTGGGTTTCAAGGTACAAAACAGCTGAAGAAACTCTACCTGCAGATCTAACACCTGCTCATTCTATTCTGTTCTATTCATTCTAACACCTTGTTCCTTGCCTTTCTTCTGTGTTCTTATCTTCCTGCTGAGTGCAGGCCACAAGTCACAGGTCTGTCACCTATGGTCCTCATGAACTTGAACAAGTTCCCTCACAACTCTGAACCACTCTCTGAGAAAACAAGGATCATGACATCGGCTCAGCAATGTGTGAGGATTCAATTTAATGGTGTACACAGGAGTATCTAGCTCAGTCCACCCCTCAAACGTCCACAGGAGTCAGGAAGAAGTAAACGAAGCTGACCAGGCAGAGAAGTAAATCATGTGACCCGCTTGGTCTGGGTTTACCTTTGCCACTTTTAGTAGACAAACAAGTAGAATGATAAGAAAATGCTGTAAGAACATGAACAGTGCAAACATGACAAATAGGAGAAATCATGGGTAACACAACGAGATGTAGCCTAAGTGGTGGAAAGCAACAGGGAGTGGTGGGGATTGAGTCAAACTGAAGCATGTAGGCCCCATCTAAAAGGAACAGTCTTCCTCAGCTCCGGTTGACTGCTGCCATGAGGGAATGTGGAGCCAATGCTAACATGTCTTCCGGGTTTACAAGAGAAACTAGAACTCTAAATTTTTTATGTGAAATCTTTCAATTCTTAAATTTGGGCTCAATTATTAAAAAAAAAACAAAAAACACAGCAGAAGCCAAACTAATCCCATCTCTGGGCCAAAATCAGCTCATGGGCTGCCAGTAAGCAACCTCTTACCTGGATAGTGGTATAAAATAAAAATGAGTTTCCCTTCCCCCCCTCCTTTTTCTCTTCCTCCTCTAATTTTCTCCTTTCGCTCCCATTGTCTGCATCTTTTTCCCCTGACCGCCCCCCGCCCTCACTTCTATACTAAGTCCAAGTGATAGAAGGGATTGAAGTGGGTAGAAAGTGATTAAACCCAAGAGGATGTGACCTAGACACCAAATGGTGCCCACCCAGGGCATAGCTCAATGCCTGGCCCCTAGCAGATCCTACAAAATCTTGACACATAAAGAAGCTGGCAACTGAGGGAATTGGTTCTGCCTCTTTTGCTCATCCTGGACTTACCCGAGGAACTGTCTCATTTTTCTCAACAGCCTTACGAAGCCGTTCCGGCCGCTCCATCATCAATGGGAACTGGGCAATTGACCGTCCAGGAAAATATGAGGGCGGAGGGACCATGTTCACCTACAAGCGTCCAAATGAGATCTCGAGCACCGCTGGAGAGTCCTTTTTGGCCGAAGGTCCCACAAACGAGATCTTGGATGTCTATGTGAGTCTCTGAACTATTCTCTGGATTTGGTACCATTGTGTCGTGTTGCTTCTGAGAGACACACAACACATGAGCAACAAATCACTGCCTGTGCTCAGTATATTTCTTCAAGAGGATTTTACCGAGGTTCCCCCGAAATGCTTGGCGTTCCTCGTAGCCATTCACCTCTGAATGCACCTCGCTTGTAGAAACCTTCCACTCTACCAGATGCTTATTACCCTCTGAGTTTATTGACCCAGTAAAAACCCATTTTACTTGCTGAACCAAATCAGAGGCAAAACATATCCTTTATTTCATGAGCACTGGGGCTCTCCTCCAGGCTCTTGCCTTATAATGCTAATTTGGCGTGTTTGCTTTTATGGCAAAAGAAAGCAAACGCCCTAAAGCAAGGCGGAACCTCTCATGGCTCCCAACCCTCTTCAAACTCTGTTCAAGCAAACGAAGAAAGGAGAGCTTGATTGAGGATTCCAGACGAAACAATAAATCTTGGAGTAACACTATGGAGGTTTACTAGAAGTTCCCTGCTTCAGAAGACAGAACTTTAATTTACTTCACATGAAACTAAAATAGTAAGCTGCCCAAGAATTTACAAAGGTCCTTATTTTTAAAGGAAGCCACTAGATTCCAGCCTTCTTAAAAGATCAGGAAATAAAGGGTAGCAAGAAATAAAAGCTTGAAATAACATTTGGATACAAAGAATGAGCTCACCCACAACTATATATACTCTCACTGTCCCCAACGCCATGCTAGTCTACCTGTTTACTTTGTCAGAGAAATTTAGGAATAGTATTACTTGTGTTGTTGTTACTTCTGTACCTAGACAGTTCTGTGTCCATTCCTCTTAGGACAAGTGGACTCAAAATTACAAAGAAAGTCTTGTTATAGTTAATTTTGGATTTTTTTTAGACTGTCCGGTTGGTTGGTTAACTCTGGGTAGATTTCGAATGGCATCAGAGGTAAAAGCTCAGGTTGTGAAAAGTCGACTGTGGGTGGTCTACAAGTAGAAGCCAACAATAATTTCATAAACGGGATACGGTTTGCACTGGCAGAATGTTCACGCAAAGAGGCACGGGAGACGGAGAGAGGATTTCCAGCCACAGACCGAGCAACTGATTGTGTGAAAAGGGAAATGAGGGGTTTGGGGTGGACAGCAGAAACCTGAGGTCACGCAGCTGTGTCCCCTTGGCAGTCCTGTGCTTACTGCCATATATTCCCAACACCGATGGTTTGGGATGGGTTCCTGGGTACGACAATCTCCATCATTCCCGTGTCTGCCTCCCTTTGGGTGATTTCTAGAATGAAGAACCATTTCACAAGTAGGGAGAGGGTAGGAGACTATGGCATAAGTGGGAAGAAGAGACCCAGGTCCCACCCATGCAGGAGTGACTCAGAAATGCTTGTAGCTAGGAAGGACTTCTGAAATGGGCTGTGAGTCCAACCTCCTCCTCTAATGAAGAAATCAGAAGCCAAGGGGGTTAAGGGACTTGAGCTAGGTTACCCAGTGGGTCAACAGGAGAGCCACTTTATAAAGCAGGAAAGACAGAAATGTCAAAGCATGACCATGTGTCCTTGCTTGGCTCATGTCTGCACTGTAGATTCTTATTCTGCCATTGCGTTTAGCCTGCCACCCTGCTCCCCACTAGGAAAGCCACAGACAGGAAGCACTTTGATTCTCCAACAGAGAGGAAGTAATTCTGCTGGGCCATGCTTGTGTGTGTTGTGTTTTCGTCCCAGTGTTCACCTGCTGACTTCCACAGCCCTCTGCAGCTTCCTGTTTGCTATTCTGTTTTGAGAGAATATGACCCAGAAAGATTCCCGGCCTATACCTGTATTCTTGACCCCTTCTCGTTGTGGTTCTTGAGCTTTCCATGAATGAAAGGGATCTATGGAGCCAACCCAAGGGGGGAGGACTGGGCAGACCTGTAAAAGGCCTCACCTGTGAGGCAGAGGACTTTAAGGAAAGGTTCTGCCAAGGCAATCTGGTCCTGCTGGAGTGACTCTGTCTCGCCACCTAGTGTCCAAACAGGCTCTCTTGCATTGTAAGCGTATTGATCTATTTTGGACATTTCAAGAGCCCTGGGCAAAATCTCAGTCATGGTACAGGATGGTTGGGAGCCACAGAAAGGTTCCATCTCTCTGTTTGGAATGTATAACATCTTGACTCTTAGCCTAGTGTTCTTCTGACCTGCTCAGTGACTTAGTTCTTCAATCTTCAAAAGTAAATGATGAAAAGCCATCTGGAAATACCTTTGTTTAATCTGTCACAGGTCGATGAAAGGACAGAGCCCAAAATAGTGTTTCTCTGGTCACCTTGAGCAGATCTCATCATGTACTAGAGTCAATGCTGCATACCCAGCAATAATAATTAACTTAAAAACAACCAGTTTTCCAGTCCCTAGATGAGCTTCATTCTACTTGGTCACGGACATTAAGGTGAACATCTCATCCTTGTCCCAAGAATTTGTCTTCCAGCTACTGGCCCAGCCCTTCTTATCTGTGTGACTGACCAACCCCCATCAATCCAGTCATCAGAGATACGAGGACACAGAACTTCACCAGAGAGCCAGCTCTCTTTGTAATCTCACCCAAGAATGCTTACCAGCCACCCTAAAAAAAAGCCTCAGAAGCCTTCAGTCCTGAACAATTGGGGCCGGCATTTCCTGTAAACCTCTGGTCCCTTTTCCACTCTTGGGGAAATGGATCCACTCTTTCTCTGATCTACTTTCTAATTAAGCTCCCTTTTTCCTAATCTACCTTCTGTGCATTTCTTTGCGTACCCATGGCACCAACTCAGCACACCGACCTGACAGTTCATGAGTGTTACCAGATGTAAATTAGCCCAATCATTTATCAGTAGAACCATTTATGCTCACGGAGCCCCAAGCCATCAGGAGAAGGGGTGTGGGGTGTGTGTGCCCAGTGCAGTAACATTGACTTTTGTGTTGTCAGATGATACACCAGCAGCCTAACCCAGGAGTCCATTATGAATACGTTATCATGGGAACCAACGCCATCAGCCCACAGGTGCCACCTCATAGGAGACCAGGTAAGACCTCTGTTTAACTGCCACTTATGCTCACGGTCATTGCCTTTTAAACTCTCTCTCTCTCTCTCTCTCTCTCTCTCTCTCTCTCTCTCTCTCCCCCCCTCTCCCCCTCTCTCTCACTCCCTCTCTCTCTCCTTATGCATATACTCTCTATCTCTCAGTCAATATAGAGAAAACCCATGGACATATATTTCACAGTATGTGGCCTTGATATGAAAGCAGCCACTCCATTTGAGCCTTCGCACATGAGACTGTTCCATTCATTCGATTCAACCATGCAGACAGCATCCTGGGTCTACCTTCCCAGTTCAACATCTTGAAAGACCTTTAGATTAGCTTTCTATTGCAGCTCTAGCAAATGACCTCGAATGTAGTGGTTTAACACACATATGTACTGTCTTACAGTTCTGGAGGTTAGTTGTCGGCAATGGATTTCATGGACCAAAATCAAGGTGTCAGCAGGGCTACGCTGCCTCCAGAGGCTCTTGGTTGAGAAAACCCATTTCCTTGTCTTTTTCAGCTTCTGGAGGCTGCCTGTATCCCTTGATTCCTTTCTCCACCTTCAAAACCAGCAGGATGGCACCTCCAAATCTTCCTCTGATTCTGGCCCTCTTCCCTTACCAAGTCAATCTCACCCTCATCCTCCTTTGTCTTTCCTTCATAAGGATGCTTGATAGTACACTATGGCGGGGGACACCTAAATAATCCAGGATAATCTCCCCATCTCAAAATGTTTGATTTAATCACATCTGCAGAATTCTTTTTGCTACACAAGGTAAGACACTCACAGGTTCCAGGGATTAGGACGTGTACATCTTGGGGCCATTATCATCTCTCTACCATACGCCTTTTTTCTTTGTCCACTTTTGCTGCTGCTGCTTCTTCTTCTTTCTTTCTTTTTTTTTTTTTTTGGAATTGTAGTCTCACTCTGTCACCCAGGCTGGAGTGCAGTGACACACTCACAGCTACTGCAGCCTTGACCTGCTGAGTTCAGGCAATCCTTCTGCCTCAGCCTTCAAAGTAGCTGAAACTGCAGGCATGCATCACCACACCTGGATAATTTTTTAGTTTATTGTAGAGACAAGGTCTTGCCATGTTGCCCAGGCTGGTCTCAAATGCCTAGGCTCAGTCATTCCTCTCACCTCTGTCTCCCAAAGTGCAGGGATGACAGGCATAAGCCACCGCCCCTGGCCTCCCTTTTGCTTCTGTTAACAATATTTTGACCAATAAGAAAAAAATGATGAGTTCAATGACAATCCATGCTGGGTCTTCCCAGTGGGCTCTGTTTAGACAGAGCATACAGCTTTCCACTCAGTTGGCACTGGGGCTGGGACAGCCCTCTGGCTTTGCAGATATCTCTCCACCAATTGACGACGGAGCCCCTGCCCAAATGCAGATAGTTTTTTCCTTCTTTAGAATAGGAAGGTGTGTGGACCCATTAATTATAATAATAGCTCACGTGCACCAAGGCCTTGCTGTATGCCACACACCATGCTGAGCACTTTGCAGAAATCAACTCTTTGAACTCTCACAACAGTGAGAAGTACTCAAAGGAAGGTACTATTATTAGCCTCAAGAGTAAGGAAATGGGCCAGAAGAACTGGATCACACTTGTAATCCCAGCACTTTGGGAGGCTAAGGCAAGAGGATTGCTTTGAGCCCAGGAGTTTGAGATCAGCCTAGGCAGCATAGCAAGACCTCATCTCTACACAACATAAAAAAATTTAGCCAGGTGTGGTAGTGCATGCTTATAGTCCCAGCTATTCATAGGTGACTGAGGCAGGAGGATTACCTTAGCATAGCAGGTTGAAGCTGCAGTGGACTGCATTGTACTCCAGCCTGGGTGACAATATGAGACCTCAACTCAAAAAAAAAAAAAAAACCAAAAAGAGTAAAGAATGGAAGCTTAGGGAGATTAAGTTACTTGTCCAGGTCCCACACATGGGTAGTGATCCCCAGCTGGCCTATGTGACCAGACTCTGTGCTTATTATACAGCCTCAAGACTGCCTGGTCCAATGTCTATCCTAGAAAGTAAGAGGACAGATGCCAGGTCTGACCTATCCATCCTCTTCTGGTCTATGGATGGGATAACTAGGTTATCTGATGGCCACACATTGGGGAGGACTACCTAGCAGCCTGGAAACAACAGCCTGGGCATCCCAGACATGGAGTGGGTACGTTGTCCAAACTCCAAGTCAGCACTCTCAGGCCAACAAAATTTGTATGCCCTCTCCAGAAACAATGCACACTCAGAGAAACCAAGTGTAGATGGCAAATTATTCAGATTTCTGGAGTCTGTTGCTGACTTAGGGGACAATTGGAGGGACCATTTAAAGATAGAGAGGATAGAGATGATTGCTAACAGAGTTGATGGGCCTCAGCTCACAAGTAGCATGAGGGTTCCAGGATCAGCTGCCCGGGACAAGGGAGGCCAGGAAGGGTCAGCTGGAAAAAGTTGGTATGGGAAGGGCATCATAAACCCAGCTTCCTTCTTCATGGCAATAGAGTCCGGAGGCCTGGAGTTTGAATCCCTTTCTGCCATCTTTCTTACTGTGCACCCTCAGGCAAGTCAATAACTTCTCTGAACACATTCCCAGTCTATAAAATAAAGAAAAAAACTTGGTTGGTCATGATGGTTCACGCCTGTAATTCCAGCTCTTTGGGAGGCTGAGGCAGGAGAATAGCTTGAGCCCATGAGTTTGAGACCAGCCTAGGCAACAGAGCAAGACCGTTTCTCTACCAAAAGTAAATAAATAAATCAGAAGAATAAGCCAGGCATGTGTGGCAGCCCATGCCTGTAATCCCAGTGACTCATGAGGCTGAGGTAGAAGGATCACCTGAGCCTAGGTGGTCAAGGCTGCAGTGAGCTGTGATCATGCCCCTGCACGCCAGCCTGGGCTACAGAGTGAGACCCTGACTACATGTAGAAAAGGCAACTACATTCTAAAGTGGTTTTGTGAGGAAAGGGTATGGAGGAAGATTAAATAAATTAGGTGTCCATCCTAGTGTATGCCCAGCACATACAAGGTACCAAAAGGTGAAAAAATGTTTTTGTCTGATAACATCTTGGACATTCTCATTTATACCAACAAGCCTTGCCTCAATTGTGTTGGTCTAATTTGGATATAATATTTTAAACCATAGTGTCATAATTAGCCAACTAAGTAAGAAAGAACTGGTAATAGGAAGGAGAAAACCCTAATAGTTAGTGTCCTAAAGTAACTCTAGAATGTGCCTCCTCATTTTATATTAAAATGATACATGAATATTAAAATATTCAATTAGAATAGAAATATGCAAAGCCAAAAGCAACTGCCCCATCACTGCCAACACTTGGAGGCAACCAAGATGTTCTTCAGGAGGTGAAAGGATAAACCGTGGTACATCCAGATAGGGGAATATCAATTAGATCTAAAAAGAAATGAGCCATCAAGTCACAAAGAGACATGGAGGGACCTTAAATGTATGTTGCCAAGTGAAAGAAACCAATCTGAAAAAAAGGCTATATAGTGCTCGATTCCAACTATATGACATTCTGAAAAAGTCAGAGCTGTGGAGACAGGAGAAAGACCCATGGTTGCCAGGGACTGGAGGGAGGGAGAGAGGAATGGGTGGAGCACAGAGGATTGTAAGCCTGCTGTGTATGATCTTGTAATCGCGGTGACGTGTCATTATGCATGTGGACAACCCAGAGGAGGCGCAAAACTGAGTGTGAGCCCTTCCGTACACTATGGACTCTAGGTGATTATCATGTGTCCATGTAATGACATCAGTTGTGACACACGTACTAGCCCTCTGGTGTGGGATGTTGGTCGTGGGAGACCCTGTGTCTGTGTGGTGGCAGGAGGTGTATGGGAACTCCATAATTTCCACTCCGTTTTGCTATGAACCTAAAACTGCTCGGGAAAAAATATATATAATCTATTTTTAAAAAAAAAAAGCATCCCCCAGCCCTATGCTCTTCCCAGAGGAGATCTCTCTTAACAGTTTGGTGTGATTCTGCCTTGTCCTTTTTCTGTGCATATGCAAACATGTCTGCAGCCCATTTTAATCTCTGTCTAAGATCCCAAGTGTACAAGGAATATTTCATACCATTATTTTCTATTGTTTAATCTAAATTCAACCTCAGCTTAAACCTTATTTGAAACTAGTGCTGATTCCACCACAATCAGCATGGGAACCACACACACATGCATGTGCTTCAGGTGTGGGTAGAGATCTGGATCTTGGGTCTGAGTGGTCACCACCCTCTGGTGTCTCCATACCAAATCCACTAGGTGCTTCCAGGGGCAGCCTCCTGCAACCTTCAGGCTAGGGCTCTGCTCCTCCCAACCTGCACTGGGGAACATAGGATGCTGGGTGAGGCTGACAGTCAGGCCCCCAAACTCATCCCAGGTGGTCTTCTCCTGGGAGGCTGCCCAGTGCACCCTAGGGCCCATGGTGCTCAGAAAACCCAAGACATCCTGCCTCTCTTCCACCTTGAAAAAGTCTCTCAATCTCTCTCTCTCTCTCTCTCTTCCTGTCTCTCTCTCTCTGTGTGTGTGTGTGTCTTTCTCTCTCTCTCTCTCTTTCTCTTTTTCTCCCTTTCTCTCCCTCTCTCTCTATCCCCTCTCTCTTTCTTTTCCTCTCTCTTTCTCCCTCCTTCTCTCTGTTTGTCTTTCTTTGTGCCTCTCCTCTCTCCCTCTCTCCCGCTCCCTCTCCCTTCCCCTCCCCTCTCTCTTTCTTTCTCTCTCTTCCTCTCTTTCATTTTCTCTTGCTCTTTTTCTCTGTGTCTCTCCTCTCTCTCTCCCCTTCTCTCTCCCCCTCCCTCCCACCTCCTCCTCTTCCTCTTCCTCCTCCTCTCTCTCTCTCTCTCAAAATGCACTCTCCACTGTTCCCTGCTCCTCCCTCTGGGCTGGCCCTCAGGAACATCCACTTTACCCTTACTGAGAGCCTAGGTTTGCCCTTTAGGAAGGGAGAGCCATGGACTTTAAGTAGCTTGCACTTTCCATGCTCCAGAAAAAGGAAGCAGGAACATCCAAGGACTCAGCTTCTCTTTCAGACTGGAGGAGGAAGAGGAGAAACAAAGATAGAAAACCAAACACAAGTTAATATTCCTAAGAGGGGCCTGCCACATCTGTATGTGTGTTAAGCTTTTATCTTTCATCAAACAACATACAGTGTCGTGTCTCCATGTCAGAACATATATTTGCTACTTTCTTTTTAAAAATCACACAATATCCCATTTCATAGTTGTAGTATAATATTTTTAACCAGTACCCCTGTTCTACTGTTTGGCTGTTTCAAATAATACTTTATTAATCATAGTTGTAAGTACAGCTTTATGTAAAAGAATGGAAGTCCAGTTGCAGTGACTCATGCCTGTAATCCCAGCCCTTTGGGAGGACAAGGAAGAAGGATCACTTGAGACCAAGATTTTGAGACCAGCCTGGGCAACATAGTAAGACCCATCTCTACAAAAAAACTTTAAAAATTACCCAAGCATGGTGGTCTGTGCCTATAGTCCCAGCTACTTGGGAGGCTGAGGTGGGAGGATCACTCGAGTCCAGGAGTTCAGGTTCAAGACTGCAGTGAGCTATGCTCACACCTCTGCACTCTAGCCTGGGTGACAGAGTGGAACCCTGTATCAAATATATGTGTGGGGCAACCCCTTTGGGTCTCCTCCCACTGTGGGAGCTTTTCTATCCTCTCAATAAATCCTGCTTTCTCAACAACAAAAGTGTGTGTGTGTGTGTGTGTGTGTGTGTGTGTGTGTGTGTGTGTGTGTGAAATGCAAATGTCCTAGAAGCAGATCACTAGATCAAAGGGTATTTGCATTTAAAATTCAAATAGACGGTGTCAAATTACCCTCCAAGATTGTGCATCTCTTTGCAGGCTCATCCACTGTGAATGGAAGTGTGTTTCCTGCACCTTCAGCAGGCGTCTAGGGATTTCAGGGCTTCCAAACTTTCCCATCTCTATCATTGGGTAAATAGAGGGAATGTGTTTATCTCTCTATATGTATTTCTTTAATTATGAGTGAAGCTGAGTATGTTTGTGTGACTTTTGATTGTTTCTTTTTTTTGGAGTCAGAGTCTTACACTGTCACCCACACTGCAGTGCAGTGGTTGTGGCTCACTACAGCCTCGACCTCCTGGGCTCAGGCAATCTTCCTGCCTCAGCCTCCCAAGTAGCTGGGACTACAAGCCTGTGCCACCATGTCTGGCTAATTTTTTATTTTATTTTTATTTATTTATTTTTATATAGAGACAAGGTTTCACTATGTTGCCCAGGCAGGTCTCAAACTCCTGGGCTCAAGTAATCCTCTTACTTCAGCTTCCCAAAGTGCTAGGATTACAGACATGAGCCACCATGCCCAGCCTATTTCTTTTTATTTAGATTGTCTGTGTGGCCTTTGACTACTTCTCCTACTGAGATGCTCATCTTTTTCATATTGATTTTTAATATTGTTTTGAATATTAGGAAAATGAATATCTGCTTATTTAAATAGAATGCACCTATGTGCTATGAATTAGAAATGACCTGATGTTATGTAATTTCTAATGCCGAAGCAATTTCCTCTTCACAATTCAGTGTCCAAACTGATCTTGCCTCACCTAGGAGAGTCCTTCAACGGCCAGCTGGTCACAGAAAGCAGGAGCCAAGAGGAGGCAGAAGAGAAGGAAGGGACCAAGGAGAAGACCGACTTGCATGGCGAGGCGCCTGACATCTTCGCCTCGGAGACAGCACGGACCTTCTCCGTCAGGCATCCAGACAGGTTTTCTCCCCGTCAGCCAGACAACTTCGTGCCACCAGCACCGCAGCCCCCACGGCGAAGCCGGGATCATAACTGGAAGCAGCTTGGGATGACAGAATGTTCAACGACCTGCGGGAAAGGTGAGCCTGGTCCCGGGAACGCGAGGGTCCCTGTGGACTCCAAGCAAAGAATGCATGGTCAGCCCAAGGGATGTGGCAAATCCTCACTTCCATGTGTCCATCTGTGAAATAGCTCTACGGTGTGACGTACTGTGTTGGAGTCTCCAGGACCTCCCTCAGGCGGTCAAGATTCAAGAAGGGCCTATAAGACTTAGAAAAACTATTGTACTCATGGTTACAATGTATCACAGTAAAAGGTTACACAGGTTAGCATTCACAAAGAGAAAGGCACACGAGCAAAATTCAGGAAAAACCCGGCGCCAGCTTCCAAGTGTCGCGCAGAGTTGTACTTAATTCTCCCAACAGTGATGTGTGACATCACATGCCAAGTTTTGTTAATTGGAGACACTCCCTCAAGCTTTGATGTCTAAGGCTTTTACTGGGGTCAGTCGCATAGGTGTGCAGCTCCTACATGACTGACAGTAATCACTCAATCTTTACCACCCCAGAAGTCAAGCCAATGTAGCATGGCTCCAGACCTTAGGCACAGAAAAACACTGATCAGGCAGAATATTTCAAGAGCTCAGAGGTTGTCTCCTAGGAGCTGATCAAGGGTCAGTCCTGAAAACAGGCCTTTCTTTGGAATGTGCAGGGTTTGAGCAACCCAGGCCAGCCGAGTTAATCCTTCCTGAAGACATATGGTCATTAATCATCACATAATACACTCACATACTTGAAGATCTAAAAGTTGATTTACAAGTCAAGATTGTGGAAAGCTGACACAAATGCCAGTTGAAACACATTCCCAAATCTAAGGATAGCAGAAAAAGTATCCTTCTGGGGCTTGGAGTATTAGTTGACTTTTACCCTAACCAATATTCACAACTCCCATACTCTCCCAATAAAATCTTAAACCTGGATTCATTTATCATCCTAAGCAAACCAGCTAGGACCACTGAGACAAACCTGTTACCTGACAATGTCGGGTTTATTGACCCCTAGCAGTGAGGGAGACCACACACCAGAAGCAAGGGTCTCCAAACAAAACCAAAACACACATATACGTAGGATTTGGGAGAAGGATGGAGTTTAGGTGAAATTAAATAAAGCAGGGTTTTGATAGGCTCAAAGCAAGGCATGACTGTGTTAAAGGGATCACATCAGGACTGTAAGGTGGACCCAGGGTCCCGTTTCCTTGAAAACTCCAAAGATAGATGTGGAATATGGTATCCAGAAACCCCTTACCTGACATCCCACACCTGGGTTGGAAATTGATGCCTCTTCTGCTTTAAGGTGACTTACATCCTCACTGCAAGGATACATGAACTGTGTGGTTGTCATTTCCTCCATATAGACAGTAATCACCTCCTGTTTGTAGTAAAGGCCTATTTGATTCCCGGAAACAGCTATTCTTTGAGGGGAGGTTGCCATGGAAACAGAAAGGCTGTATTCCCCAGGATTCTCTGCTAACTGGGAGACTGTGTGGTACTCCAGAGCATTGCTTTGGGGATTTTTCTTTTTTCTTTTCTTTTCTTCAAGAGAGTTGTATCTAAGAGTACAAAGTGTGGAACCTCTGACATAATTGGCACACTGAGAAATCTTTTTCAGAAGAGCATTGGCTTAGTGGCTTCCAAGAACAGAATATAGGTCTTTGGTTCTTCTCAGGGGTTGGAACTCTTCCTGCATGGAGCCTCTGCAGATTCCAGAATGACTTGGTAACTGGAGTGTTGATTTATAGAGGTTTTATTGTGCAAATTTTATTGAGCTTATACTTAATACATGTGCAAAGAATGTGAACTGGAGATCCATTGAACCAACTTCTTTTATAAGCTTTGTGGGGAAAAATTAAATGCCTGTAAAATGTGTCTTGACATAGGCAGAAAGCTAGAAATAATTCTGCATTAAGACCAACATCATTTTAGTGAGAATCTGTTCATAACATTATAGAGGTAAGGCATGTGTAATGTAATTGATATAGGAACTCAAGATCAAAATGTATTATTACCAAAATAGTCTGCCATTAGGTAGTGGTGTGGTGCCCATTAAGGGAACCAGATACACACAGAACTAGGTGAAAATAGGGAAAGTCATAAAAAGGATGAAAATTGTCATCATGTGGTTTTCTTTTTCTTTGTTACTTTTCTTTTTTTTTTTTAATACAGGATCTCACTTTTTCACCCAGGCCAGAGTGCAGTGGTGCAACCATAGCTCACTGTGGCCTCCTGCAACCCTCCCACCTCAGCTTTCTGAGTAGCTGGGACTGTAGGCATGCACCACCACACTAGCTGATTTTTTTTAAAAAAATAAGCCAGGCTCGGTGGCTCAGCCTGTAATCGCAGCATTTGGGAGGCCAAGACAAGTGGATTGCCTGAGCCTGAGGGTTCGAGACCAACCAGGGCAACTTGGCTAGACCTTGTCTCTACAATAAATTTAAAAAAAAATTAGCCAAGTGTAGTGGCACTTGCCAATAGTTCCGGTTACTTGGAAGGCGGAGACGGTAGGATTGCCGGAGCACAGCAAGTCAACACTGGGGTGGCTGTGAGTATGCCACTGCACTCCAGCCTGGGCGACGAAGTGAGACTTCAACTCAAATATATATATATATATATATATTATAGAGGTGGGGTCTCACTATGCCGCCCAGTTTGATTAGTCTCAAACTCCTGGTCTCAAGCTCCTCCCTCCTCAACCTCCTAAAGAGCTGGGATTACAGGCATGAGCCACTGTGCCCAGGTTGGTTTTCTGTCAAAAGACCTTGCATCATGGGCATAACGTGGTAAAGACAGTGGCACATGCCATTTGCCAGCATGTTCTTCCTCCTGCCCACACAGGCCTGTGTCCACTTGCAACCACCATGGACTTATCCAGGTGATCTCTCTCCGTCCTGTGTCAGGCATGCTGGAGACCCCACATCCAGAGGTTCTGGTTATTTTGCAACCCCAACCCACTCCAGTCTGTGTGATCCACACTGAGGTCAAAAATCACCTTTCCTTACCATGCTTGCATATCTGGGCAGCAAATTCCTGCTCACACACTATGCTCTGAGACCACCTCCTCTGGGAAACCTTCCTGATTCTAACACAAACAGGTAGACACTTCTTCCTTGGGACCTCCCAGTGATTCGGGACTCATTTCTGTCCCAGCCCTGCCGGGTTCAGCTGTCTCCACGAGTATGCACTTTGCAGCTTCTGCACCTGGCGTCATACCAGCCACATGGTAGGCATGAGGGTCATTTTTACATCCATGTCATATCCTAGATATATGTCCCTGATCACCTCCACCTTGTTCCACCAACTTAGCATACAGAATGTGGATTTTGTATTCAACACTGAAAAGTCTTCCTCCCTAGATCTCCGTGTGATTTCATTTAATCATTAAGACAGCATTTCTCCTTTGCATTGTACACACACACACACACACACACACACACACACACACACACACAGACTCTCCTAGGAGAGTGTAGGTGTGGGTTTTAGTGTGCAGATATGTTAGATATGTAACCTGTATATATCTGAGTGTGTGTGGGGAGGGGGGTGTACAGTCACACATGGGTCCACAAAGACACACAGAGAGACTCTCTTAGAAGAATGTGAATTATGGGACTTAGCGTGCACTGTATCATTTTAGATATTTATCCTGTATATACCCAAGATACGGTATACGACACAGTGCACGCTAAGTCTCATACTGCACACTTTTCTAAGAGAGTCTCTGTGTGTGTCTTGGTGGACCCATGTGTGCCTATACACACCTACACGTGCGCACACACACACACACACACACACACACACACACACTCGGGTACATACAGGCTACATATCTAAAGTGATACAGTGCATACTAAGTTCCATATCTCACATTCTTCTAAGAGAGTCTGTGTGTGTGTCTTTGTGGGCCCATGTGTGACTGTACACACACACACACACACACACACACACACACACACACACCTGGCATCTGCCACTCAGAATGTCTGAGATGCCCCCCACCCTGGGAATCCTGGCTACCTTTTCTCTTCCATGTGATACCAGACGTGCAGGGTGGGGGCGGGGGCATGTAGATGCACAAAACATGGAGCTCAAGTCATGGTCCTCAGTGGCGGTGACAGGTGTGCCACCACTGCCGTGACAAGAAATCCAAGCCTGCTGGCACTGTCCAGCTCACGCACGTCCAGCCAAGTCCATTCCCCTTGTGATCTCATGTGTGTCCCCACCTCAACCCTCCCTCAAGTTGCTGCCCAGTCCTTCCTTGGAGCTAACCGCACCACGCGGTTCCATGCCACTCCTGTCCACATCCCCCTTTTTAAAAATGCTTTCGGCAACGCCATACCACCATCTCAGGAAAGGTGTCTCAGGCTCCCTGTCACCAGCATCTGAGAGTGGTCTGTTTCATGCGGTCATTGACCAGGCCTCTGTGAAACTCTTAGTTTTGCTGACTCCCAGAGTTCCAAGTCTGGAGCTCAATGTTTTCTTGCTCTCTATTTTGTCTCTCTCCCCATATTGTCCCTCTGACCTCTATACCAGCCTTGAATACACTGACATCTCGCCTGCTGTCCGTGAATTACCTGTGAACCAGTTCCCTCCTCCAGCATCACATACTTCTGTTTTGATCAACACACCCACATAAGCCAACCAAATTTATCCCAGGTTTTTCCTGCCACCTGACACTCAGGCAGCACCTGGCCTCACCCCCCACCCCAGCTCCTGCCTGTTAGCTGCTGGAGGAATGATGGAATTACAATCTTGCAGAATGGGAGGTGGCTGGGGGTCATTGTGAGTGAGTCTCCCTTTCTGCAGTTACTAAAACTGACCCAAAGAAAGGACTGTTGCAGTCATCAGTCAGGAACAGTGTATCTGATGTTTTCTCACCATCAGAGAGACAGAGAGCCTCTGAGTTCATTTCCTCAGTTCACCTTCATGAACAACATACACAAAGGCAGTGAAATGTCGAGGAAAGGTAAGCAGTGGCCATGCCAGACAGCACCAGGCAGGACCCATCTTCCCAAGGCAATAGCATCCCTATGGTAGCTAAAAATATGCACTCTCACCCCTGTTTGAGTGCCCAGTGGTTGAGGTCGTTTTTTTTTCCCTCCCAATCCACAAACGTATAGGTGGAAAATTTAAACCCACAGGGTCTTGAGGGAAAGGAGTAAGCTAAATAAAATCTTTACTTAATCCCTTAATAGCTCAGTCCCAGTTGGGTACACTGCAAGCTGTGGACTGTGTCTTATTCATGTTTGTAACTCAGCACAATGTGTTTAATGTTCATTGAATTTAATTAAAAATCCCTTCTACTTAATAGAAGGAGATCTGTAGCTGAGCAGACTTTAATTCCACAAAAGTTTTTGCTTCCCATTAATTTTACAGCCAGTGCTGCCTTTTGCTCAGCCAGTAATTATGCTTAATTGAAACATTATTTTAAATAATGGTCTCAAGTTATAGCTACACTGTAAATGTTTACTGCCAGAGTAATTTACACAAACGATCATTTCAGATTCAAAATTGTCTTATAAACTATCAGATTGCTTGGTGCCCTCGGCTCAGTGTGTCACACAAGATCAGTTTGAAGAACCACTGAAACACTTCTGTGGCTGATGAAATATTGAGACGTTTAGGTTAAAGTTATCCCTCTCATTAAATTACAATTGTAACAAGTTGGAGGTTCAGAAAATATTAGTGCCTGACCAATTAGCAACAGAGATAAGACAAAGTTATAAAATAAATTACACCGTTCTTTCCAGCAAGAATTGTGCATTAGCCTAGACTGTGGGGAAGACAGTTATTTCTGAAGAAGCATCTTCAGATGTTTGATCCAGACAGCACAGTGGGTACACGTCTTGACATAAACCTCCATTAGCAATACCTAGGGGTTGCCACCAGGTGGCAGCAGAGAGACGAAAGCAAAATTGAATTGGCTCCCCTCCTCCTCAATTTGAGAGCTAGAAATTCCACTTAACACATTCTGGTTTTTTATCAAAAATAGATGTATGGTGGCTGGGCTCGGCAACTCAGTCTGTAATCCCAGTACTTTGGGAGGCTGAGGCAAGTGGATTGCCTGAGCCCGCAAGTTCAAGACCAGTCCTGAAAACATGGCGAGACCTTGTCTCTATAAAATCAAAAATGAGCTGGGTATGGTACTGCGCTCCTGTAGTTCTGGCTACTTGGAAGGCTGAGGTGGAATTATCGCCAGAGTCCAGCGGCTCGATGCTGGGGTGGCTGTAAGCAGGCCACTGCAGTCCAACCTGGGCAGCAGAGTGAGACTCCGACTCAAAAAAAATGAAATAAGAAAATAGATGTATTGCTATTAAACCAATGAAACTAAGAAGTGTATTTTAAACATAAACCCCGAGGCAATGAGGGAGTTTTTTTAAGCAAAATAATACAAACAAGGATTAGACCTCTGATAATTATTCTTTCAACAAACTTTTACCGGGCATCTGCTACACTGCTAGGTACTGGTCTAACAGAGATGAACAAGAACTACCCTGTCCCTGAGAAAGAAGCTCCTGTCTCATGGGAAGCAGTAATACTCAAACACAGAAACACCATTAGATCGGTACTTTATTAGAACAACGTGCGAAATGCTTTCCCCAGGAAGAAAGCAGCTGCTCTTCTGCCTTTTTTTTTTTTTTTTTTTTTTTTTTTTGAGCTAGGGTCTCACACTGTCACCCAGGCTAGAATGCACTGTCACGATCACAGCTCACAGCAGCCTTGACCTCCTGGGCTCAGTGATCCTTCCACTTCAGCCTCCCAAGTAGCTGGGACTAAGGGTGTGTACCACCATGCCTGGCTAAATTTTTTTTTCTTTTTGTAGATACAGGGTCTCTTTTTGTAGATACAGGGTCTCACTATGTTGCCCAGGCTGGTCTCAAACTCCTGAGCTCAAGCAATCTTTCCACCTCAGCCTCCCAACAGTGCTGGGACTACAAGTGTGAGCCACCCCTCCAGGCCACTTTCTGCCCTTTTTGAATCTCTTACTTCTCTGCTTCAACCTGTCTCTTAAATGTACCTAGTATAGCAGGTCAGTTTATCAGGTAGTTACTTTTATTCCAGCTTAGCGACCTAGGCAGCCCCCTCCCTCCAAAACCTCTGTGCACACATATATGCAAAACCAACCCTTCTCTATGATGAAGCTTGACCCCTCCAGGATACTTTCTCTTGGATGCCTCCAGAGAAGCTTAGAAAAATCACTGCTTTTCATTTTATCATCCCTTCTCTGCCTAGCAATGCCCTTTTGTAAACCTTGAACTATTGTGAAGATAGTTTGTGTCTCCCTTGGAACACATTCAAACGTGTCCACAAATAGATGATTGGTTCCTCTGAGGGCTGGAAATGTGTCTGAGTCTTCTTTGCTCCCCATCGTTCCTTGCAGAGCCTGTAGAAGGTGGGTGTATTTAACCCCCAAATGAAGGAGTGAAAGTGTGTGTGGGGGGGGGGTATGTGAATGTCGTCCTCACCCTTCTGTGCCTTCTCTTCATCAGCACCCTAATCTCCGGGCATCCCCACCCTAGCCCAGCTTTCCAGGATGTGGGACTGTCCTTCAGAAGCTCTCCTGTCATTGCAGGGTCCCAGTACCCCATCTTCCGCTGTGTGCACAGAAACACTCATGAAGAGGCCCCTGAGAGCTACTGTGACTCCAGCATGAAGCCAACTCCTGAAGAGGAGCCCTGCAACCTCTTCCCCTGCCCAGCCTTGTAAGATGGCCTCTCTGCTCAGGTTACCTGTGCCCAGGTCACTTCCAAGTGCCTGTGTATAGGACCTTACTAGAAGATACGACCTAGTTTTTAAGTCGATCTGAATGTGATTTAGAAACACGAGACCTAAATCACATTCAGAAAATGCAGCCTGTTTAGCGAGCATACCTGTCTTTTGGACTGAACTCTGGAGCTGTTAGCCTTTAGCAAGTTGGCACACCCCCAGGAAGCCCACCCTTTGAAAAATTAAAGCAACTGGGTTTTAGCCTGGCCAGGAAAATAAGGGGGAAAGCAAAGAATGAGAATCCAGTATAGTTGGTATCATTGGTGAGCTGTGCACAGAGAAGATGGGTCTTAGAAGCCACAAAACCATCGGCCCCCAGAGGTCAGGAGTGGTGTCCAGGAGAGGTCTTGAACTGGTTATTCAGTGATAAATAGGACATTAGAAGAACAAAGGGATATGGGCCCTAAAAGGGTCAAAACCTAATTCTCAGAGTAATAAAAATACAATTCTCATCCAAATCATCATGAGCATAAGCTGACATCTTACATTTAACAGAGCAGCAGTGCAGAGGAAGGTGCATGAAACTCATGTGGAAATCGTCCACATAAAACAAAGACTTCTGGGATAAAATTTCTAAGTTAGTTCCAGAGCGGGTTCATGTTCTGCAGGGCAATAAAACTAACCTTTGGAGGTTTGGTTTTGTTTTGTTTTTTGTAGATTAAAATCATTTGTCCCTTCTCAGTTTTCTCTAACTTTTTATAGGATCTGGGTCCTGGTCACTGGTAAACAGCACATCATACAGACTTGCCTTCCTTTAAGGCAGTAGTCCCCGAACTTTTTGGCATCAGGGACTGGTTTTTTCACGGACAGGGTGGGGGGAAATCATCAGGCATTAGACTCTCATAAGGAGCATGCGACCTAGATCCCTCGCATGCACAGTTCACAATAGAGTTCGTGTTTCCATGGGAATCCATTGCCGCCGCTGATCTGACAGGAGCGGAGCTCAGTCAGTAATGCGAGCGATGGGGAGCTGCCTGCCACTCACCTCTTGTTGTGCAGCCCAGTTTCTAAAAGGTGACGGACCGGTACCACTCCATGGTCCAGGGGTTGGGAACTCCTGCTTTAAAGAGTCTGATGGCACTTCGGCAGTCTTTTAAGTAGTGCTGCAGTCAAAGGCCACCCATCATGACTGTGCACACTGGCTGGGCCCACTCTCCTTTCCTGTTAACTGACGGTGTCTCTCACTCTCATTCTTGCTCCTGAACTAGCTGGGACATCGGGGAGTGGTCTGAGTGCAGCAAGACCTGCGGCCTGGGCATGCAGCACCGCCAGGTCCTGTGCCGCCAAGTGTATGCCAACCGCAGCCTGACAGTGCAGCCCTACCGCTGCCAGCACCTGGAAAAGCCTGAGACCACCAGCACCTGCCAGCTGAAGATCTGCAGCGAGTGGCAGATCCGGACAGACTGGACCTCGGTATGCAGGCAGGCGGCCCACTCTGAGTTCCCTCTCCAAGATCCACCTCCCCTTTACCTTCCCCAAAGACCTGAGATGGGTGGCCCTGAGTTTCCTGGGAGGGAACCCATGCCTTAGGGTTCTGGATAGCCATTTTTGCAAGCTACAGGATATGCCAGTTGTTCAACAGAGTTCAGGCTTGTGTGCGTCACCCACGGCCAACTTGATGGGGGAGCCCAAAGGACCCTGGGCACATGGGCCTCATCTATTTCACATGTTGTGGTGGAGTGAAGGTTGACAACTGCTAGAAGAGTCAACTCCTTCCAATCTCACCCTCCCATTTTACAGAGGAAAAAAATGAGCTGGGTGTGGTGGTTCATGCCCAACACTTTGGGAGACTGAGGCAGGAGGACCTCTTGAACCCAGGAGTCTAAGACCAGCCTAGGCAACATAGTGAGACCTCATCTCTACAAAAATCAAAAATCAGCCAGGTGTGGTGGTATACACCTGTAGTTCTAGCTGCTTGGGAGGCTGAGGCAGAAGGCTTGCCTGAGCCCAGGAAGTCGAGAGGCTTTGGTGAGCCATTATCATGTTACTGCACTCCATCCTGGGTAACAGTAAGTCCTCAACTTTAAAAAAAGAAAGAAATGGCAGCCCAGAAAAAGAGAGTGGGCAAGGCGTATAAGGTCTTAGAGAAAAGGGCTGTGACTTTTCTGGGGCTCGGATGGGGACCCGGCAACACAGGGGCCTCATCACGGTCATCTGCTCAGGCAGCACGGGATGAGGGTGCCATCCTGGCAGATGTCCCTCGGAGCAAAAGCTGTCCATTCCCCTGATGTGGGCTTGCTGTATTTCAGTGCTCGGTGCCCTGTGGCGTGGGACAGAGGACTCGCGACGTGAAGTGCGTGAGCAACCTGGGGGACATGGTGGATGATGACGAATGCAACATGAAGCTCCGGCCAAACGACATTGAGAACTGCGACATGGGGCCCTGTGCCAAGGGCTGGTTCCTCACTGAGTGGAGTGAAAGGGTGAGCATGACGCCAGGGAAGAGCCGGGCCCGGGCCTGCCAGGGCACCCCCAAACCACACAGCGACGGATCACTGGCTTAGAACTCAAGGCTGATTTCTGACTTGGGGAAAAGGCCCAGAGATGAACCTCCATGGGCTTTCTAGTCTTAAAGGGGGTGGGGGCTCCAAGACTGAGAAAGGGGTGAGAAAAAAACTGGTGTCATTCTCCTTCCCACTCCACGTGATCGTGACTTCATGAAACACTAAATGAAGTGAATAATTACATGGCGTCTTTCATACATTTTGTGAGATCCTGGCATTTAATAGACACTCAGCAAAGGCAGACCTCTTCCCTGCTTCCTAATAACTCAAAACACTTCTTACCCTATTCCCCTCCCCAGTAACCTGACCTCTCTTGGGGGCTCAGAGGTCAGCTGTCCAGGAATATCCCAAAGGCATATGTAGTGAGCTATTAGCCCATCACTTACCACTTGCAAGAGAAATAGGCTGCTTCCATCTCTCAAAGGCAAAACTAGGATGTTTCTGAGAAAGAGATTCTGGAGATGGATGGTGGTGATGGTTGCCCAACAGTGTGAATGTGCTTAATGTCACTAAGGTGGATGCTTGAAAGTGGTTGAAATGCTAAATTTTATGCAATATATATTTTGCCACAATAAAAATAAAAGAAAGATTGAGGCCAGGCACAGTGGCTCATTCCTGTAATCTCAGCACTTTGGGAGGCTGAGGCAGGAGGATCACTTGAGGCCAAGAGTTCGAGACCATCCTGGACATAACAAGACTTCATCTCTAGAACTAAAAAATTTTAAAAAGAAGTTTTAGGGAAAAAAGCACTAAGCAAAATTAAAGAACATACCTTGGGACAGGGGAGAGGAAGGGACAAAGGAGCCTATGAATTTGCTACCCTTTCTTGTGGAAGCTGTGGATGACAGGCAGGGGGAGAGGCTAGCAGAGTGTTCTGCTTGGGGCAACCACACCGGTCATTGCACGAGCTACGTCTAAGTCCAGGGTCTTCCAGGAGAGCTTGGGTATCTCCCTGGGATGAGGACATGAGTGGCCATCTCTGACCTGGGTCAGCAGCTGCCTTCTCAACTAGGCCAATTTTTAAAATCAGAATCCCGTGTCTACATAGTACCTGGGAACCTTTGTTCAAGTGCAAGTTCAGAGTCAGCAGGTGCAGGATGGGGCCAGGGATAATGGGCTCCCAAGGGGCTCTGAGTTCACTGGTTCAAGCACCACACACTCAGTAATGAGGCCATAAAGAAGACAGAGGAGCCCAACCAAGTTGCCACATCTTAGGAGACATGATATAACCTGCCCCCAGCCCCAGTCGCAGCATCATGGAAACAGCAGAGCCATATCGCAGACTCAACGAAGGACACTTTCACATGGTCTGGGGATATTAGTCAGTAATATACCCCATACCACCATGTTGGTTGGCTCCAATTGGTCTACATCCTTCTGACTGGCCAGAGCCCACCATGCTCTGGTTGTTGAGTATTTCAAGTGCTCACAAAGGTCTTCTCTCCCTCCAGATTGTAAGACGCCCCTTAATTTTTTCCCTGTCATCACCATAATAATCCACATCCAGAAAGAAAGGAGGGACAGACCAGCAAACGCAGCCTTCACTCCAGTTCCTGCGATCGCCCTGGAGACTCTCATCTAGTGATTTGTCTTCCTGTGGCTTCCCCTGCCTCATGGCATACAGCCCTTGCTCTTTGGCCTGGAGAATCCCATGTAGAGAGTCCTTGGTGCAAACACTGAACTCCTAGGGTGAGCAGCTGACTGAGCCCCAGTCCCTGGGGTAGACTGTAATGGGCACCAAGCTGGCTATCTGGGAGGCTCTAACACAAGGGAAGCATGGAAAGCGATGCTGACCTCAAGGCGGCCATTGACTTAGACTTTCCAAGCCTTCCAACCCCAACATCAGCTGGTAGCCTTGTGGAAACAGAGGGAGGAGGTGTTTGTGAAGTCATTGGTCAGCCTCCCTGCCAGCATGAGGCATCCTCTGCAGGGTCGCTGACACAGGTCACCTGGTCATCCGGCTCTTGTCCCAACCCTTCATCAGATGTTCACGGCATGTCCAGAAAATCACATCTATTTCTTGTACTGCTCAAAGTGTCAGGAGGTTTCCTTTGGCATTGAACCACAGTGCTTTTTCTTGCTTACTCCCACTATCCCATAGAAAGTCTGAGCATCCGTTCCTTACGTGGCAACCCTGCAGCCATTAGGGGACCCCTCCCACCTCTCCAGGCTAAAACCCCTGGTTCTTTTCACGGATGCTTATCTCATGCTTTAGTTTCTAAATGACATATTTGTGCGCATGGTAAACTTGGTGAATTTAGTGTATAAGGAAATGGGTAAAATGAATGATGCCAGGCTTTCATTTTTATATTGGAAAGATGATTTTTGAATAATTTTTTTCGGACTATAAAGTAACATGCTATTATTTTTTAAAATATGAAAAAAATCAGACAAGTATGCCCCAAATCGCTTCAGTAAAATATGAACAAATCAGACAAGTATGCCCCAAATCTCTTCAGTAAAAGGTAATAATTTGAGATTTTTTAAAGCTATACAACCAAACTTTTTTGTACTCCTGCATAGTGGATATTCCTAACTTTTCTTCATATAATATGTATATATAAAATTATACATATTTTTATATATATATATAATTTTTTTTTTAGTCAGGATTTCCCTCAGTCATTTAGACTGGAGGGCAGTGGCACAATGACACCTCATTGCTGCCTTGACCTTCCGAGCTCAGGTGATCCTTTCATCACAGCCTTCCTAGTAGCTGGGAATCAGATGCATGCCCACGCCTGCTAAATTTCTTTTTTTTTTTTTTTTTGGTAGAGACTAGGTCTCACTATGTTGCCTAAGCTGACCTCAAACCCCTGGGCTCAAGCAAATCTCTCAACTCAGCTTCCCGAAGTGCTAGGATTACAGACGTGAACTGCCATGCCTGACCTTCCTCTTACACATTTGGAGGATGTAAATCATAATGTGTGTGTAACTTGGTCACTTTCTCTTTTCACTTACATATTATAAACATTTTCATGGTATTAAAACCTTTACAACATTTAAAAAATAATAACAACAAGCTATTATAAGACTATTATAATTAAACCAATCCCCTCTTTTAAAATATTTGGGGTTTTTCCTGATTTCTTTTACTATTTTAAATAGGATATTTAAAAGAATATTCAGTAAATGCCCCTGTATATAAATCTTTATGTGCACCTTTTTTTATGTCTCTAAAATAATGTTTAGGAAGTAGGATTGTGTGAAATTATGAAAAAATGTTGTGAATGCTTTTAGAACTCTTAACACATTTTAGTTAATTTCTCCCCAGGAAGATTATTTCCATTTAGAGTCTCCCAACCAACAACTGAGAGCGCTTTTATAATCATCTTATTGCAGTGATTCTTCAGAGTTTAAAAATTCCATCTCTCTACATCTGCCACTCTCTGAAAAAGACACGGCTCAGAACACAACACTCACAGAAAAAAAAACAACCGTATGGGGGAAAATAATTGCAGTGGTTCATCCCTCTGTTGCCTCCCATATTTATTTAGAACAGTGAACATCTCATGTAAATTTCCCAAATATTTCCACATTAGCTATTTCTCCTCTAATCGTGACTTATCAATTTTCCCTTCGTGTACATTTGCTTTGTATTTTAACACAGGTTATTGCCAGATCTAACTTAGCTTAAAACTATAGAGTGAAGAATGAGCCTTTTATTCTACTGTTCAGAGAACTTGTTTGTTCTTTTTAGAAAACGTGTTTTAAATCATGGGAGATTGGTGTTGTGATGTAAGCAAACAATTTTTGCCTTATCCATCCTCAGAACAGATCATTATTCCTAAATGTTCATGCTTACCTTAGAATAGATGAATGGGAAGGGAGTCCTGTTGAGTTTAAGAAAAGCTCGTTGGCATTGGTATCATGTCCATGGCCAACATTTATTTCTCATTTGACCTTGAACAAGATGCTGACCCTCTGAGCCTGAGTCTCCTCGATGTAACATTGCTGAGTGAGCATTCAGGGATAACGCACTTGCAACTATGACTGGGGTGAGGCTGGCACAGAGGGAAGAGTTTCCTGTGGACTACTTCATTCTTAAGTTCCATGCCTCCAGGGGCCTTTAGTCCACCAGTTGGTCTTACAAAAGTTTCAGGCCTTGGAATGACCAGCTGATGGCAACTTTCCACATTTCAGTAGTTGCTTTGTATAAAAATCAGCCCTGTTAAGCTTTCATCTGAACCACGCAACTTTTTGTCACTGGGAATAAACACATATGGAGCAACTGCTACATGCCAGGAGTGAATGAGTTGCAGCTTCTGATTCAATGAGCTCAAGAGAGAGAGACAGAGACACCAAAGACAATTAAAGTTTGCAAACGCTTGAGAATACAGAGTGTATCCTATTGCCCACTTTAAAATTAATTAATCTCTACCTAAATGAATTGAAGTTGTAACCCCAATCTGAATATTTTCTTAAACTTGTAGGACTATAAAATTTTTCTGGCTTAATGACTCACCTTAGAAACATCTTTCCAGCTACTTTTAATTGAGGGTGGCCTTTATCAGAGGTAAGCATCATTTGCTTTTTAGTTTTACATATCAATGATGGGAAAAAATATGTATAATTTTTCAACACAAAAGTAAAAAAAAAAAATTTTTATAAAGTCCACCAGTCACAGTTTCGTAACACCTAATTTCTAAGGAAGTTTTCCAAGAAAAAAAAAATCTTGGATTATTTAAATTACAGAAAATAATGCATAAAACTGAAGTTCAAGAATAGTCATGAGAGCCTTATAGTCCCTCGGGGACCAATTGAGCCAAGTTCAGCGTTTAACTGTTGCTGGAGTGAGAAGGCGGCCCTCGCCAGAGGGTTGCTTAGGAATCCCACGTGTTTCTGTGCTTTGGCCAGCCCGAAGTTCAATGAGGAGTCAGGGCCGTTTCTGACTACCGAAGCAGATCTGATCCTTCTTTTAGGAACATTCTTTAGGGACAATGAGTGGGTGTGTTTGGGGACCTCCCTTTGAAGGTTATTCCCTGCCACCTGGTAGGGTCTCCTCCTTCCCCTGTGTCTGCTACCAGGCTTCCTGGACCCATCCTGTGTGGGTAGCTCCTTTCAAGTTTACACATGTTGTGCTTTTTCTGCTGTTGGTGTAATAAAGGGAAACTCTTCTATGAGCCTCATCCATGTACGTTCTTCATTGGACACTGGCATGGTCCTTAACATTCTTCTTTTATATTAAGCACATGGGACTAGGGAGAGACTTTCCCAGATGCGTGTGCATTGCTTGTTTTGGAAAGCAGAAAATTAAGTTAGTGTATCATATGGAAATTACCTGGAAAGAAATATGCTTAGGGTTTGAAACACAAAGGTGACTGGGATTAGATTTACCTTGTGTTCTTTACAAGACAATCTAAGTATCTTGAGTTTTAAAGTCAGAAAGACCAGATCATACTTGGCTGAAACAAAGAAACAAAAACCTTTTAGCCTAGAATATTCCAATTATTGTAACAAAGGATTTTTAAACTAAGGGACTGGTTTCTAATAACAATGAAAATAGAGCAAAAGTCATGAAAAGTATGTGTAAATCTGGTGGGGAGGAAATATTTGTCCTCTACAGATTTTCCTGGCTGCAGCCTGTGAGCTAAACTGATAAAAGAGTAACAGGAGAAAAGCATGCAAGTTTTATCTGATGTTAATATTTTTAACACAGCAAGCTTCTTTAGGAAAGAAGTAAAAACCCCAAAGAAGCAGTTATATTAGAGAGCTTCTATACCACTTTAACAAAGGGCAATATTTTGTGAAGAAGTGACTAGCCAAAGGAAAGGGGCTGGGCTTCTAGGGTCAGTAAATTGTGAGAAGGTGACTAGGAAATATGTGGGGGAAACTAAAAGAGCATAAGGGTTATTTCATTAAGGTTTATTTGAGCAGATTCATCTCAGAGTCTGCTCCTCATCTCTGGTGATAAGAGTGTTATGTTCTTCCTGGTACTGAGAGGGCACCTTTCTCTTGGAAAATGTATGCCCTGCTTAAAAGCAGAAAGGGAGTAGACAGAGAGCCCTTCCTCATCTCAGTCACCATCAGCTCAAAATAATCAGTAGATCAAAGCAGCATATTTTGAGGCAGTATATGTTAGGTCGGTGATGTGGGTAAAGCAAAGATTTGCACAGAAAGAAGGTCAGAAAATAAGTTGATTCATTTCCCCAAAGAATGGAGAAGGAGCCAGACACCAAAAGTAGTGCAGCCCCTATGAGACTGGGGGTTTACAAACATTCTTGGGTGGGATAGCACAGGCAAACATTCTTGGGTGGGATAGCACAGGGGCTGGTGCCATAATGATGGTCTGTTTCTTTGTATCTCTGATAGCAGAAGGATGGGTGGTCCCTCAAGGGTGCTCAGCCACATGATCAAAGGGCTGGGTCTGTTGCTGGAAGGCAAATTCTTGGAACAAAGATGTGTGTCTTAAAGTCTTGAGATCAAGCAGAATGAGACTCCCCGGGGTTCTGGGAAACTGGTTGTTCTTCTAGTGAAGGATGATTGCCGTGTATGCACTCAGCTAAGCCTACTCAAGAGGAACAGAGAAACTCCATTTTAGCTTTGCCCTTTCAGCGTGTTCTAGGTCCCCTCAAGCCCTTTGCTCTGGGAGTCAGACCCAGCTCATAAGTGGTATTGCAGATGTTTCACTACTCATACTGGGCTTTGATCTTACAAGACTGGACAGCAGCATCCAAAAACAAAAATGGAAATTTTGATAAGGAAACAGGGTTGTAAGGGGTTTTTTTTCTTTTCTCAAATTTTATTTAAAACTCTATTGATAGCCGGGCTCGGTGGCTCAGCCTGTAGTCTTGCGCATTGGGAGGCTGAGGTGAGTGGATTCTGAGCCCATGGGTTTGAGACCCGCCTGGGCAACTTGGCAAGACCTCATCTCTACAATAAATCAAAAATTAACCGGGCATGGTAGCGCACGCCTGTAGTTCCAGCTACTTGGAAGGCTGAGGCAGAAGGATTGCCAGAGCCCCAGCAGTTCGAGACTGCGGTGGCCAGGAACGGCCACTGCACTCCAGTCTGGGTGATGGAGTGAGACTCCAACTCAAAAAAAAAAATCTATTGATTTTATTTATTTTCTAAAATGATAATATTGGTAGAATTCAAACATTCACTCTGTTTTTAAGAGAAGACCCAGAAGCCCTTGGAATGGACTTTGGTCATGTGCTAAAGGGCCACTTCTAGGATTGTAAGATACAGATAGGAGAAATGAACAAAGGAGGGCCCGAGGCCATATTCATTTATTCAAGTGATATTTGTGGAATTACTGACCTGAGAAGGAATTAAAGATGATTCAGTAAGCCAGGTGCAGTGGCTCATACCTGTAATCCCAACATTTTGGGAGGCTGAGATGGGTAGATTTCTTGAGCCCACGAGTTCCAGACCAGCCTGGGTAACATAGTGAAACCTCATCTCTACAAAAAGTCAAAAAATTAGCCAGACATGGTAGTACATGCCTGTAGTCCCAGCTACTCAGGAGGCTGAGGTGGGAAGATCACCTGAGCCCAGGAGATCGAGACTGCTGTGAGCCATGATTGTGGTGGTTGTGTCACCACACTCCAGCCTGGGTGACAGAGTGAGACCACAACTCAAAAAAAGATTCAATAGTCCCTGCTCTCACCAAGTCTACTTCAATTTTTTAAAAAATATGACACATAATGATAATATGGAGGAAGCAAGCAGGATATAGAGCACCACGAGGATTCTGAGAAAGAACGTCCTGAGTTAGGCAATCACGAAAGTCTTCACAGAGGAGATGGCATTGGAGTGGAACCCGTAAAGAATTCTGATGTGCTGAGTAAAGGAAAAGAGCATTCCAGGCAGAGGAACCGCATGGGTGAGGGTTCTGTAAGCCTTTTGTGTGGCCAGGGAGTAGTGGCCACTCTGAGTCTGTCCAGCATGTGGTGTGCAGGACAGAGAGTGGGAAACTTGTCTAGAAGAAGGGGTTGATGGAAGCCATATTACAGGATCCTTTCATGCTAGTTGAGGAAGTCCATATGTGAATTTGGCTAGGAACGGGTTGGCATCAGAGGAAATTTGCAGCATGGAAACCCCATGCACTAGGAAAGCCAGGGTGGCTGATCAAGAAGCCATGACCATAGTCCAGGGGAAGCATGTTGGCGCTGCAACCATGAGGTGGAAAGGGACAAGGCACACTAGACACTAGAGAAAGTGGCTAGACCAACATCTCCGTGACCCAGTGGTTGTCTAGATGTTGGAAGCAAGAAGGCAGAGGAACCATCAGCCTTTGAGTTCAAGTAGAAACTTGAACATAAGTCAGAAAATCAGGAGGAGGAATCGTAATGGTGGTGAGGACACATTGGATTCAATACATCAGTGGGACAGCCAGATGAGGATGACCAGAAGATGTTTGACAATATAGCATAAGAAGCAAAATAAGGCAACATTCTGAAGTATTCCAAGACAAAGCGAAAATATGAGCTTGTGGATATGACTCAGGAACAAAGTTTTTACTATGCTCTGGGTGAGGGTAGAGAGTGACTGCAGTGGAGAAATCATGTTTAACATTTATTTGGCTTTAAATGAAGAGTTTACTCCATGAACCTCTGTTTCTCTGTCTTTGCGTAGGAATGTAAGAGTTGATCCTTTAAAACCCCTCCCACCATTTATTGAGCACCTGTTGTCTGTAAAGCACCTATTCAGAATCTGGAATCTTGCCAGGAATGTGTTCCTAGTCAGTGATCCAGATGCGCATGCCAAACTGAGAGGGCTGGTCACTTGCCTCAGTTACACAACTGGGGTGGGGGACATCAACACTGACATGTCTGGTTCTACTAAGCTGCCTCCCAGAACTCTCATGGCTGTGACCTTCAGGGGCTAGAACCATTTGCCTTAATAGCAGGCAGTAATGTTGAGGTAACAGACTCTAGTTCCCCCCCTCCTTTCTCAGCCCAGCCCGGACTTGGCAGATAGACATGTGGCTGAGTGCTTTCATTTTTGTTTTGAGTTGGGGTCTCACTTTGTTGCCCAGACTGGAAGTCATGGCTCACCACGGCCTCAAACCCCTGGGCTCAAGTGATTCTCTTTCCTCAGCCTCCCAAGTAGCTGGAACCACAGGCATGCACCACCACGCCTGACTAATTTTTTGAATTTGTGTAGAGGTCTCTCTGTGTTGTCCAGGCTGGTCTCAAACTCCTGGACTCAAGCAATCCTCCCACCTTCACCTCCCAAAGTATTGGGATTACAGGTGTGAGCCACCGCCCCGGTCCCAAGTTTCTATGCACTTATTCTTCTGCTGAATATATTTTTGAAAGCAAAATCTGGGAAAGGTAGTCTGACAAGTATAAGTATATTGTTTGCAGCTGTAGGATGGGATTCTTGGAATATGGAAAGAAGCCCCAGAAAATCTGAGAGGGAGTCACCATACTGGTATCCCATAATGGAGTAGGCTGTGCATGAGAAGTTGTCTTATTTCTAGGGCAAAGAGATGGTAGGGAAATGAAGCATTTCATCCTTTGCACCACTCAAAACTGGCTTCAGAACCTGCAGGGCCCCTCTCTAATGTGCCACCTCCTGTCTCGCAGTGCTCGGCAGAGTGTGGGGCCGGAGTGCGGACACGCTCGGTAGTGTGCATGACCAACCACGTCAGCAGCCTGCCTCTGGAGGGTTGTGGGAACAACCGGCCGGCGGAGGCCACCCCGTGTGACAACGGGCCCTGCACTGGCAAGGTGGAGTGGTTTGCTGGGAGCTGGAGTCAGGTGAGTGTCCAGAAATGGGTGCATCTGTCTGTCCCTGGCAAGAGGCAGCATAGCAGAGCGGTTAGGAACCAGGACTTCAGGTCAGATATACCGGGTTTGAGTCCTGGCTGTGCCACTGGCTAACCCATGACCCTGGAGAAGCCACTTGGAGTCTAAGTCAACAGTGTTCACTGAGCACCTGCTATATCCCTGTCTAAGCACTTGGGATACATTAGTGAACTGAGTAAATATCCCTGCCCTCGGGAAGCTTGTGATCTTATGGTGTCCTTGTCTATAAAATGTTGGCGATGACAGCACCTTATGAGGTTATTTTTAGAAGAAATGAAATAGCATACATAAAGTATGTATCACAGTGCCTGACATACAATAAACTCAATAAATGGTAACTGCTGCTGCTATTTTTATCACTGTGGATAAAGCCAATTTTGTCTGTATTTGGCAGTGTCAGAAGCAGAAATTATAAAAATTGAAGTTGTTCATTATATAGAATAGATCGTACTGAACACTTTAATAAAGTAACTTAACTAATTGATTAATTAATTTTTCCCCTCACTGTTCCAAAATTGAATGTGAGCCTCCTAAGAAAATGTGGGCATTCCTGCTATGATTACCATTCAAACTTCAGTTCTTGAGCCACGTAGCATTTGGTTCCCAGTGTTGGCTGGTTCTCCAAGGAGTTTTTGGCTACTGGTGATTTACACATTATCAGGACCTCTGGCTCCATATAGACTCTTACTTCTTTTAAGTAGCTTTAAAAACAGACCCTGAAAAAAATGAACTGCCTTGTCCTTGTAAACTGATACAAGCCCTTTGGAAAGCAATTTGGCAGTAAAAGTCAAAAACTATAAAAGTGTTCATTTGCCTTAACCCAGTCACCCGATTCCTGGGGATTCATTTTAAGGAAATAATTAGCAAGGGAAAAAAAGCCTTTTCAATGGAGATGTTCATGACAGCAGGATGGTTAGGGATATTATGGTATATTATAACTCAGTTAAATATTATGTAACAATGACCGTGGTCACTAGGAAGATTTGACACATGCCTGTGGTATTATGAAAAACAGGATAAAACTGTACAAACCCAATGAGCTCAACCATTTCAGGATACAACTTTTTCTTAATGTCAAAAGCATGGGGAAATGTTTTCTTTTAGAATTTCCTGTAATGTTTTTATAATACAACCTATAAAATATAGAGAATTCAGAAAGAAAGAGAATTCATGTACTTCCAATGTTATTCTGGTGAATATCAAAATTAGGCACATTTGGTAACTGATCTCAGCTTTACTTTTCATTAGTTTTCTGGCCTGAAGTGAGTAATTTAACTTCTCTTTCTTCATCTGAATATGAGGATAATGATACCAGTTGTTATGAGATTTTTCTAAGATGCTGGACATAAAGGGGGTTACCCATTGCTTGGGATGTGGGAAGTAGTTAATAAATATTTGTTCTCTTCTCTCTGTGTTTATTAACTTTTTTCTGCCAAGCTGTTCCTATCTCATTAAGGGTAGAAAAGCACCCAGGACCTAAACCCCCGAAATAATGGGATTCAGTGGTGACTGTCTATGGGACACCAACCATACAAAATGTCCATGGAAACTTAGGCAATGGGAAAGGTCCTTGGTGAAATAGTGTTATCTTTTCATGACAGTCACACATGTGACAATAACCAGTACAATTGAACTCACATGGCAGCCATTCTCAGAAGTAGAGGAGGGACCAAGAGTCATGGCCCATTTTTACTGATGTTAGACCTAAGCTCAGAGACCTAAGAGTGGTATGAATCCTGGTGAAAGCAGCCTTTATCTCTGCTAAGATTAGAATCAAGGGATGAATTGCCCTGTTGTCCAAAAGAATCAGAACACATTGGAATGGGAACCAGGTTTCGGTTTGGGATTTGTAAGGACATTGAAACCTACTAACAACTCCCTGCCCTGAGAATTTGACATTATCCCCAAAGAAAATGAAACAGAGCATACTTGTTTCTTAAAAGGTAAGTTTTAAACACTTACTGATTTCAGAATATAAAAATAAATGCTCCTTCCAACCACATGATTTGAATGAGAGTTGGTATTCTGAACAATCCCCCTGCCTTGTCACAATATTAGTCCAGGGGAAGACATGTGACCCACAGGTGAACATGCAGCCCAGACTGAGCCAAACAGACTTCTTCCCTGGGACTTTTCATTTGGGCTTTAGGGAAGAGACTCACTAGGATGTTGTGAGGTCAGGTGCTAGCAGGAGTCATACTGAGACGTGTGCCCCATTGCCAGCTTAAAAAAATGAGACCCAAGTCCAGAGAGAAGCAAAGACCAAGGAGTTTTTGGTTTTAGAGTCTTTCTAACTCAACCAAGAAAGGAAGATATTCATTTTCTGCTGCTCCCCAGATCCCTGGAACCTTACTAGGAGTGTATCAAGTTTAGGGAGTCTTTTTCTACTCTGGAAGCAAAGTAGCCCAACTCTTGTTCATAAGGTATTCTGCCAAGTCTATCGTTTATTCACAAAGTTTTATGGTTGTAAAACTTTGTGAATATACTAAAAACCACCAAATTGTGTACTTCAAAAGGATGAATTTTATGGTATGGTAATTATATTTAAATAAAAACATAACCTTTGGTGGGGGAGAGAAAGTTATTTTAAATTTAATCAGGCTTGGCACAGGGGCTCAAACCTGTAATCCCAGCACTTTGGGAGGTCGAGGTGAAAGGATTGCCTGAGCCCATGAGTTTGAGACCAGTCTGGGCAACATGGTGAGACCTCATATTTTCCCTTCTTCTCTGTCAATTATGGGTATACTTCAATCTTCCATTGTCTTAGTTCTGGGGAGTTTGTCATAGTCTCTAGTCAGCAAGAGCAGCCATGTCTGCCTGAGGGTCTGAATCACATTTATTCTCACTGACATCTGAGCAGATATTTTCATTCTCATGGATCAAGAATCCACCAAAGTACCACTGCAGGATTTCTTTAGGCACACAAACATAAATAATTGCCATCACTTCTCAGTGGAAGATTATCCCTATTAGATATTAATTTTTGTCTTCTATGTTTTCCTACATATGTTTTAGCTGACATTTGCAGTACTCCATCTGATTTCTCATTGTTGATTTTCACCTGGTATATCTTTGTTAATTTCTTAATTTTCAAACTTTCTATGTATGTTTAAGGTATATATTATGTATGCAGGACCATTTTTGTCTTTGTTTTTATCCAATCCATAAGTCTTTGTATTTTAAGAGTTAAATTGTAACCATTTATATTTATTGTAATCACGTATATATTTGGACTTTTCCCTACCATCTTATTGTGTGTTTTCTATTGTCATGCTTTCTTGTTCCTTTCCTCTTCCCTTTTCTCACATTTATATTAGTCAGGTTTTCCTATTCCATTTTTTTCCCTCTAACATTTTGGAAGTTATAAATTCTATTTTTATTCTTCTAGTGATAACTCCAATTTTTAGCACAGTGTTTTAAACTTTTATGTTTTTATCAGTGTCAAATTATCAGTAACTACATCCTCTCCTAAACGTAAAAAGAAGCCTTTATCTTTTCTTTATCTCCACTCTCACAATCTACAATATCAAAAATATGTTGAGATCATCTAGATTTTGCTCCATATTCATGTTAATTAATTTTATAGAAAACACTGATTAAATTTTTTTCTTTTTCTTTTTTTTGTGTTGGAGTCTCACTGTGTCACCCATGCTGAAGTGCAGTGGCATGCTCAAGCCACCTCAGTGTCAACTTGCTGGGCTCCAGTGATCTTTCTGCCTGAGCCTTCCAGGTAGCTGGAATTACAGGTGCACACTACCAAGCCTGGCTAATTTTTAAAATTTTATTGTAGAGATGAGATCTCACCATCTTGCCCAGACTGGTCTCAAACTCACGGGCTCAGGCAATCCTTTCACCTTGACCTCCCACAGTGCTGGGATTACAGGCTTGAGCCACTGTGCTAAGCCTGATTAAATTTAAGATAACTTTCTCCCCCCCACCAATTGTTATGTTTTTATTTAAATATAATTACCATACCATAAAATTCATCCTTTTGAAGTATACAATTTGGTGGTTTTTAGTATATTCACAAAGACTTACAATCATCAGCCCCGTCAAATTCCAGCACATTTTTATCATCCCCAAGGGAAATATTGGTATCTGACGGTAATCATATATTTTACTGGTGTCTTTGCCAACCTCTGCTTTTTCTTTTTTTTGAGTTGGAGTCTCACTCCTTCGCTTAGGATAGAGTGCAGTGGCATGCACACTCACAGCCATCCCAGCATCAACCTGCTGGGTTCCGGTGATCCTTCCGCCTCAACCTTCCAAGTAACCAGAACTACATACACTCTCCAACATGCTCGGCTATTTTTTAATTTTATTTTGTTGTAAAGATAAGGTCTCACCAAGTTGCCTGGACTGATCTTGAATCCACGGGCTCAGGCAATCCACTCGCCTCAGCCTCCCAAAGTGCTGAGATTACAAGCTGAGCCACTGAGCCCGGCCTGCCAATCTCTGCTTTTATATCCCATGTCTTCTTCCTGGTTCTTTTTCATTTTGTTAGACCATAACTCAATAAGTCTTTCAAAATAGGATTTGTAGTGTTGAGTTTTCTGAGCCTAGAATATCTTTAAAAGACTTCATTTTGCCTTTCAACATGAATGCTTCTGGTAGGGGCAGGCAGCACACCACTTTCTCTGCCTTGACATGGTCAGGTAAGCCCGGCTGCTCCTGGTCAGTAACTCAGTGGTCATTTATTGTCCCGAGGCCTCCCTCCCATTGTCACATCCACCGCAAATCTGGCCTGCAGCACCTGACCTTACTTCTACCATTCAAAGATTCCCCATAATTTCTGGTCCACCAAGGATGAGCGCCCTGTCTTGTTTTCGAATGCTATGGCATACACAACCCCCCCCATGCACACACACACACACACACACACACATACACACACACACATTCATTCACTTGTTCCCAGACACCCATTCTATCATTTCTGAGCATTTACTGTAGGTGAAGACTGAGACATGTGCTCGCTCATTCTCCCTTCATTACTTAATCTCTTCAAGAACTTTCCAAAAATAGCAGAAGAGGATGTCAGATTTTGATGAAGGTTTGCCACCTGCTGTTCTACCAAACACTCAGTACAGATGCAGATCTCATAGCCTTGAGGGATCTTTTGGGTCTTGTTTCCAAGACCCTCGCTTTACAGGTGAGATAGCAGAGACCTGGGGAAGTGCAGCATCTTGGCCAAAGACAGAGCTATTTAGTGACACTGTCTGGACAAGACTAGTTTCTTCTTTTTTTTTTTTTTGAGTTGGAGTCTCACTCTGTTGCTCAGGCTGGTGTGTGGTGGCATGATCACAGCCACTGAAGGCTCAACCTGCTGGGCTTAGGCGACGCTTCTGCCTCCGTCTTCCAAGTAGCTGGAACTACAGGTGCCCACCACCATGCCCAGCTAATTTTTAAATTTTTTTTGTAGAGACAAGGTCTCACTATGTTGCCCAGACTGGTCTTAAACTCCTGGGCTCAAGTGACCACCTGCCTCACCCTCCCAAAGGGTTGAGATTACAGGCATGAGCCACCGCACCCACCTCATCTTCCATGTCCCCTGACTTCAGTCCAGTGTCCTACCCACCACCGGCACGTCCTCCTTCCTCCTGCGGGAGGGGCTGGACCTCCGCCTGCCACCCCTGCTCCTCTCCTGTCTTGGATCTTTCTGTCACCTGCAACCCTTGAAAGAAAAGGAAAAAACAGGAATATACTCCAAATCAGAACATTAACCAACAGGGAAGAAAATGAAAAAATCAGACAAGAAAGTCTTGTCGTTTTTTAGATGCTGTGAAGATAACAATAAAGAAAACACAAAGCCCAAACCACGGACGGTGATGGCCTCGCTCCTGAATGCCCATGCGACTAACTCATCATTTGTCAGTTTGGGAGTTTTCTGATTTTTTTTCGTAGAGAGCTGTTTTTCTTTCCCCTTGTTTTTATTTGCTTCTGTGGCTTACAAAGCTAATGTTAGGAGTTTTAACCATAGACATTGTTACAGGCTTTTCATAAAAGCAGAAGATTCTTTAAAGTCTACAAGAGTATATAGATAACAGCTTTAAATTATTTAATCAAAAAGTATTAAGAGTTAACCAGGCTGGGCACACCTAAAATTCTAGCACTTTGGGAGGCCAAGGCGGGAGGATCACTTGAGAACAGGAATACAAGACTAGCTTGGGAAATACAGTGAGACTCCCATCACTACAAAAAAAAAAATTAGCTGGGTGTGGAGGTATGTGCCTATAGTCCTAGCTACTTGGGAGACTGAGGCAGGAGGATTGCTTTGGGTCAGGTGTTGGAGGTTATAGTATGCTGTGATCACACTACTGCACTCCAGCGTGGGTGACAGAGCAAGACCCTGTCTCAGATTTTTTTAAAAGAGTAAACAAAACATGAACAAAAAACATTTTACAAAGTAACATATACCAAACAGGATAATTTATGAACAAACTGTTATATGTATCCTGTTTTAATAAACTAACAAAATATGCCAAATCTGGCCTGTTTGTGGGTACTTCCCCACAGTACAAACTTCAGCACCGCATTAGGAAACAAGACAACTGGATTCCATGATCAAAGTTCCTGCCGATCTCCCGGTGGAGAGCGGTAGGTTGACCATAGGGGACATTTCCCCAGATCTGGGGTCTTCTTCTCAGCTTTCGTGTGCAGAGAATTGTAACCAGCACTTCACCCACAGGTGTGTTGGTCTGGGGAGACTGTCTCAGTGACAGTAGTCACCCCCTAGGAGACTAACACACAAAACCAGAATGCCAGTTCATTGTTTTATCTCCTCTGAGAGCTGTCAAAGTCTCCTGGACAGGAAAAAAAATTAACTGGCTGGTATGTTTTTGTGGGGTGGGAGGTGTGTAGGAGGATTAAGGGTTAAGCTATTTCTTACCAAGCACAGAAGGCAATGTGATCTTAGCAACGAGCATCCTGAAGGTATGACAGCTTGGGGCACCCAGTCTCCATTCTGGAGACAAAACTGTTAAGAAAACTGGAATCCATGTGCGGCTTCTGCAGAAACGTTTTCCAGGTTCCCATGGGTTCCTGCTCCCTGAATGGGCAGTAGAATCAGTGGTTCTCATCATAATGTCCCTTGATGGACCATAGTGGTGGTCTCCTTTCCATCGCCTGACGCCATCCTTCTTTGCATCTTTCTCCAGTGTTCCATCGAGTGTGGGAGCGGGACACAGCAGAGGGAAGTGATTTGTGTCCGGAAGAACACAGATACCTTCGAAGTTCTGGATCCTTACGAATGTTCTTTCCTGGAGAAGCCCCCCAGCCAGCAATCCTGCCACCTCAAACCCTGCGGAGCCAAGTGGTTTAACACAGAGTGGAGCATGGTAAGTCGTGGCAATCGCTGATGGCATGAGTGCATCACTCCTCTGCTTTCCTCCCTAGATGCCTCCAGGTCAGGGTGCTTCCCGCCTGGACTGCCAGGACTCTGACTCTTCCCTTTGTACCCATGCAGTGCTCCAAGAGCTGCCAGAGTGGTTTTCGGGTCCGAGAAGTACGGTGTCTCGCCGACGACATGACCCTAAGTAACCTCTGTGACCCTCAGTTGAAACCAGAAGAGAGAGAATCCTGCAACCCTCAGGACTGTGTCCCTGAAGTGGGTAAGTAGGGATTTCCATCTTGGAGAAAAGATGCGTCTTTCTTAAGCTCCGTCCGGGTCTCTGGTGTGAAAGATGTCGAGCTTTTCTAGTGCTCTCTGTGAGCTTGTGTGTAGTCATGGGGTTCAGAAGATGAGTGCTCCTGGTATCATAAGTGCCATGGTTTAAGATGATCATGCGTCATGTGGATGACTGTCTAAACTACCTGCCAAAAGACAGACTTCGGTATGAATGGACTAAAATGGCAATGCAGTCAAAGGTATGTTTCTGTCATCCTTAAGGTCAAAGTTTTGATATTTCAGCTTTTTTTTTGTAGTTAGAGTCTTACTTTGTTGCCCAGGCTGGAGTGCAGTGGCACAATTATGACTCACTACAACCTCAACTTCCTGGGCTCAGGGGATCCTTCCACCTCAGCTTTCCAAGTAACTGGGACTATAGGCACATGCCACCACTCCCAGCTAATTTTTTTTTCTTGTAGAGAAAAAGTCTGGCTGTGTTGTCCAGGCTGGTCTTAAACACCTGGACTCAAACAGACCTTGCACCTCAGCCTCCCAAAGTGCTGGGATTACAGGCATGAGTCACCATGCCTGACCAATGTTTCATTCTTAAGTGAAGCAGTGAGGACACAGTTCACTGAATTATTCTCTATACCTAATTCCAGTATATTGCTTAAAAGAAAAAGAAAACCGATAAGCTCTTGGTACACATTCCCATCTCTCAGGTAACAGACAGTAGGGCCAGAATAAAAAGACCCATCCACCGCCTTCCTCTCCCCCGTTGTCCAGGTTGCCCCTTGGACTCAGGGCATCTTTTCTGTTCTCTTCCGCTGTAGATGAAAACTGCAAGGACAAATACTACAACTGCAACGTGGTGGTCCAGGCACGACTCTGTGTCTACAACTACTACAAGACCGCTTGCTGTGCATCCTGCACCCGCGTGGCCAATAGGCAGGCAGGCTTCCTGGGGAGCAGATAACACCCCTGCACTCCAGCAGCAGGGCCACATCACCTGCCCTCCACCGAGGTGGCTGGCTTCAGTGTGCCTGGCTGGCTGCTGCTCCCTGGCCTTGATGCCACCAGCCGACTTGGTCACCACCCCCACCTTGGGTAAAGTGTGCCACAGGATCCCCAGGAGCCTTGTCCAGGGTATTCGAAAGCCACAGATTGTCCTTTACGCATCACCGTGGACTGACAGTGTCTCCCTGAACCTGATACCTGCTAATGGTGCCCTCGGGAAGCCAGGCCCTGGGAAGTGCTTGGAGGCAGACAGGCCGCTGACTGAGCTGCCTTGACCCTGGCTCTGCTGGCCTTTCCAAACTTAGTGACCCCCTCAGAAAGTCCAGGAGGCAGCATGCCCATCCCAGAGCCCCACCAAGCCTCCCTGAGACGCAGGCATCCCTGTGACCTCAGCCTGGCTGTGCCTGTTTTCACTCTCAAAGATACTAGACTGTGTTCCTGCCTTATGACACAAATATCTCACATTAATATAGTGCTTTGTTGTTTAGCAGGTGTGTTCACAGACATTAGCTCATTAGCGGCTCACAGCATCCTGGAATGGGAAACGGGGTGCATTACTATCCCACTGTACTGATGAGGAAACTGAGGCTCAACTCAGGTAACTGACCTGCCAGGTGTATTCAGTCCATTCAGTCACCACAGAGCCTTCACCCAATGGCCAAAAAGCAGCCTGGGTATGTCTGGAAGGGTTGGTGTGAAGGGTGTGGCTTCATTTCTGACCAAGAGACTAAGAAGTTTTCTAGAGTATGAACAAAGCCCAGGTCCTTGAATTCTTTCCTCTGGCCAAAGGTCAAGTCTTTTACCCCTGCCCCACTGTTCTGGGTGTCTGTTTCTATCTTCCCATCTCTGCAAAGTCACAGATCCTAGTTACAGGACTCGTTGCAGGTTTTGTTAAAACTCCATTCTTAGCAAACTCCCATGAGATGAGAAAGCCTCTGGAGTGACCCAGCGATTGCCTGAAATGCTGAGTCCATTTCCAGTGCTATTCTTCCCGTGGAATCAGAGGCCCAGGACCCTCTGGCCATGAGCCTTTCCCCAGGGCAGAGCACACAGCTCACACCCTGGGCCTTCTCTCCCCGGCTCCTTACCACACGCTGCCCAGTGGAAAGTCTAGCCAACCTGTCCCAGCCTAAATCCTGCGTTGAGTTGGAAAGAGTCTCCCTTTAGTCTTCCTGGTTTCATCTGTGGATTTCTGTCTGTGGTCCTGCATCCCTCTCCTCCCCCATGACTCATAACCCATACCCCTGACACCCCACCCCAGACTTGAGCACCAAGACCTGCATTAGTGCCATTGGCCTGGGCTAAGGAGCTGGGGCCTCTTTTACCCCATTTCCCCCAATTCACTTCCCCTCAGCTATTCAACTATCCAATTCCAGGGGTCTAAGGCCTATGGGGGGGGTGGCATGCATGTTGAAAGGTGGCCATCTGCAAAACCAGTTAAGAGAGACAAACATATTTCTTCCATTAAGGAAAATATCAGACTAAACAAACTGTAAACTTGTAGAAAATTTCTCTTGCTTATGTCCTGGGCGTATGTCTCTCTCAAAGCAGGTCTGGGTTCTCAGCAAACTCAGTTTCTCCCATGAACTCTTTCACCTGTAAATCTGCCCATTGGATGATCCTTTGCAGCTTTCTGCGGCATTGCCGGACTGGTCTGACACCCTCCACTAGGTTTTTGGAAGCTTGGGCCTTCAGAATTTCTGTCTGGCCTTTGTGTGTGTGTCCTTCCAGCTTCTCCTCCTGGAGAGGCCCAGGTACCATTTCCCAAAAGCATCCCCATCTCTCTGATTCTTGTGTAATTCCAGCAGAGAAGCAGCATGGTACGGGCTTGGATCCCCAGACAGACCAAGCAAAAAGAGACCAGAGAGGCCAGACGTCTGGCCCGGTACTGATCTACACCCACTCTTTCCCTCTCTCCACCTGCTTTGCACCTTGTCACAAGGGGAGTTGTTCCTTTACGCCACTGCTCTCGGATCTTGCTGAACAAGCCAATCATTGGAAGGAATGCTTGGAAGAGGTTTTCTTTATATGCTGGGGGGCAGAGCAAGATCAATGGGCAGAAGAGAGAAGGGCTGACTTTGACTCAAGGTCAGGGAATGTGTTCTAGCCAACAAAGCCGCCAACACAGGCCTGGCTGCCCTACACCAGGGAGGTCTCCATATTGAAAGGGCTTTCTCTGTCAAGTGGGAGCTACGCATCCTGGTCCTTCCAGCTCAGGAATTCTCATGACCAGTCTGGGTCCATGATGACTTCATATCTTTGATGCCTAAAGGTATTCTGTTGCTCCAGGATGTTATCTAGTGGTTCTTTAAAAGGACAATGGTCAGCTGGGCTCAGTACCTCAGCCTGTAATCCCGCGCCTTTGGGAGGCTGAGGTGAGTGGATTGCTTGAGCTCGCGGGTTCGAGACCCACCTGGGCAACTTGGTGAGACCTCATCTCTTCAATAAATCAAAAATTAGCCGGGTGTGGTAGCGCGCGCCTGTAGTTCCGGCTACTTGGAAGGCTAAGGCGGAAGGATCACCAGAGCCTAGCAGGTTGAGGCTGCGTTGGCCGGGAGCGGCCACTGCACTCCAGTCTGGGCGACAGAGTGAGACTCCAACTCAAAAAAATAAATAAATAAATAAATAAAAGGACAATCATCCTCCCGTGAGAATGACCAGCCTGCCAATTGTGCAGTTAGGTAGGAGCAAATATACTGACCCTTGTCTTCAGGGGAAGGGGATACCTAAGCAATTGAGCTGTTCTTGGAGTTCATTCATCTCTGGAAAGTTATAGATGACAAGAACAAGAATTATCAACGTATTGGAGACCCAATGTTTACTCCTCTCCCAGTTTCTTATTCCAGCATTCATCTGTCTGTCTCCCTGGCACAGCACATACCCTCATGCTCCCAATATGCCTCTTTCTCAGGGCCCCATTATCTCACTCTTCCCCTAAAATCACCTCCTGTCTCCTTCTCGGTCTTCTCCATGTTCCCATACTGTGGAACTGAAATTTACAATTTAATACTGTCCTTTGTCCCTGTGTATCAGATCACCTTGTTCCCTGCTCTGAATTTTAAAATCAGATAAATTAAAGTCATTCTATGTTTTCCTCACAAAAACCAACAAGCTCCAAACAATAACAGTTTGCTGTTTTACTTCCACTTATCAGAAAAGGAAATCATGCCTCTTTTTTTTTGAGTTGGAGTCTCATTCCATTGCCCAGGTTGGAGTGCAGTAGTATACTCATGGCCACCCCAGCATTGACCTGCTGGGCTCTGATGATCCTTTTGCCTCAGCCTTCCAAGTAGCCAGAACTATAGGCGTGCCCTACCACACCCAGCTAATTTTTGATTTATTGTAGAGACAAGGTCTCACCAAGCTATCCGGGCTGGTCTTGAACCCGCAGATTCAAGCAATCCACTTGCCTCAGCCTCCCAAAGTGCTAGGATTACAGGCTGAGTCACCAAGCCTGGCCTGAAATCATGCCTCTTGCAGGCTAGACCAAGGCTTTTTAACACCGCCAACCTTTCCACCCTCATGGTGACTTGCAGTTCTTGCCATAGAAAAGGGATAGTAGCACAAGAAATACAACATGAAAAAGCAAAATAACTTTGTAAACCTGGCCACTAGAGGGTGTCACCTCAGTTCCATCAAGGCAGGTTTAGTGCCCACTGCTCATAACCTGGTGGGGACCTCAAAGGATCAGGCAGCCTGTCCCCACGCTCCAGTAGCTGGGAACTAAAGTGTGTATGACAAGGGCTCTCAGAACTGTCCCTTGGCCTGGCCTCTCTGGCCCAGGGTTCTTGTGCTTTTGCTTTTTACTTTATTGTCTTGGGTATCTAACATCTTATTCCCAAAGTGTTTAGCATTCAACACTCTTTTTCCTTTAAAGAGAACAGCTTTACAAAGGGATGAAAGAGGGGAAACCCTAGCTTAATGTACTTACATCAATTGTGTGACGGAGAGAAGTCCAGGTATTACCAGTGTCTTTCTAAACCAGTGTCTTTCTTTTTCCATTAACAGAGTCATTTTAGAGTTGGAATATCAGTCTTCTAATGAGGAATAAGACATAAACATGAGTGATAAAAAGAAACACAACTTCCCTAAAAATGGGCTAAATAATCTATTTCAGCTTGGCAGGTGGTGACCAGTCTTTGATCCTTGCCATAAAAAAATATTTTTAATATTTAGATGGGAAAATAGATGCCTTTCTCTTAAAATGTGTGAATGACATGAAGTTGAAGAGCTGATGGCTTAAGTGACAGGCTCTGGGTCCAAAAAGATCAGGGAGATTAGAATAAAACTTGGATTTTAAGAATTTACCAGGAAGCAATATAAAACACTATCTTTGGACTAAAACGAAAACTATACACGCACAAGGTAGGAGAGACGGAAGAATTTCAGTTGACTGAGCTCAACATGAGTCAAGAAAGTGGGATGTATTCACCTCAAAACAAACAAAACCCACAGACATTTAGGCCACATAAGGGGAAAATAGAAGCCACAGTCAGATCACATTATGTTCATGACCATCAAAACCATCACACTTTAAGAAGAATATTGATCATGTATAACATTCAAATGAGAATGCCCAATCCCAAAAAAGGGCGCAGACTGTTAGCAACAGTGGAAATAACTTGACAAGCACATTGACCCTGGAAGAGAGACTTGGGCATGATGGGACCCATCTGAGAACAGAAAGGGAAAGCTGCAGGGTGGCAGATTTTAGCTCTTGTGAAGGAACCAACCTTCTACAAGTTGGAGACTTCCAAAGGCAGAGAAACTCTGGTAGGTGGTGACCGACCCATCACTGGAGATGGCACCAGAGACCATTAAGCATCTAGCCAGGAAACACAAAGCTGGAGGTCCTTTCCAACTCTGACCTTTGGTGGTATAAGTAGAAGGGCTTTGAGTGACTGGTGTGGTCTGGGGTAGCAACTACACAGCACAAATACTTCCCATTTCTGACTTCTGCCACACTGCTAGCCATGTGGAGCCCAGTGCTGTACCCCTCCC